AATATAATAAAATTAACCACAAAAATAAAATTCATGATACCAACAGCAATAATATTAACAATAATGACAATTTAATAATAAAATTAACAAAAATTACAATAACTATTATTATTATTTATAATAACGATAACAACAATAATAATATAAAAATAATATAAGTTATAATTGAAAGTATAATAATAAAAAGTAAATACCGACTACTTGATATTAATAATAATATGGTAATAAAAACAGTATTTATTTAAAAGTATGTATATGTATATAATGATAGTATAAATGAAATAATAATAATAATAAGCAACAACACTAGTACTTTTCAAACATATAACAATAAAATAATAATAAAAGTAATAACAATAATATTCTAAATATAAAAAATGCGAGATATATTCATGTATATATACCTATATACATATACACATAAGCACACATACTTGCATATATATACATACATATACATACACATGTATACCTATATATACATACATACATATACTAACACATGCATATATACAAATACATCCACACATACATATAGATACACACATACACATGCACATATACATACAGACATACATACACATATAGACATACCCATACATATACATACACACATACATACATATACACATACATGCACACACACACATATACACATATACATAAATCCGTACACACATACAAATACATATATACACATATACGTATATACATAAACACACATATACATATATTCATATACACATACACACATACTTATATACATGTATATATATACATATACAAATACATATATATACATACACATAAACATGCATACATATACACATACCCATACATTAATACACACACATATACAAAATATACACATACATACACATAGTTGTGTACGCATGCACACATGTGTACACATACATACATACATACATACATACATACATACATACATACATACATACATACATACATACATACATACATACATACATACATACATACATACATACATACATACATACATACATACATACATACATACTTACATACATACATACATACATACATACATACATACATACATACATACATATATACATACACACATATGTATATATGTGTGTATGTATATATGTATGTGTGTATGTGTATGGATATATACATATCCATACACATACACACATACATATACACACATATATATACATAACCACACCCACATATACATACATACAATACATACACACATACATACAGAAATACATATATACACACATACATACTTACACATACACATACAAACATACACACATATACACATACACACACACACACACACATATATATATATATATATATATATATATATATATATATATATATAATATATATATATATATATATATATATATATATATATATATATACTTACACAAAATCATGTATTTACACAAATATGCACACAATAATTATATATATATATTTATACATAATCAAAAAGAGATCAATATCTGATATATAGAAGCTCAGAATTAACAAAATAAAATAAGTACAAGATTTATGAACATTATTTTTCTGAAAAATAGTTAAAGACCAGTTTTAAATTTGGAAAGTGATTTAATAGATTTTAGTTGGGAGGGGAGGGTGTTCCAAGTTTTTATGCTTTTATGTTGTATGGATTCATAGCCATAATGAATAGTATATTTAGGTACAGAGAACTTGAATTTGCTAGAAGATTGTAAAATATATTTTAAATTATCTTTATGATTAAAAAAGTTTGAAATTGTAAGGGGTAAATTATTAAGGCATTGGTTCCAAACAAACAGGCAATTTGATAGTTGGATTAGGTCACACAATTTAAGGACTTTTAATAGATGATATAGTATGTTAGAGTTTGAATTAGTATTCTGGAAATACATTATTTTTAGGGCTTTGTTTTGTAGATAAGTTAGCCTTAAATAAGCATGGCGATGAGATTGACCCCAGACTTGACAAGCATAAATTAGATGAGTAGGAAAAATAGCATGATGTATATTGAGCAGAGTTTCTAGATTTACATAATGACGGATTTTAGATAACGTTCTGTTCGATCGACTTAATTTTAATGCTAGATCATGAAGATGTGATGCAAAGGATAAATTTGAATCTATTTTGATACCATGATATTTTATAGAACTAACAAGATTTATTAAAATGTTTATTTTTGTTTGAATAGATTTAAATACAATAACTTCTGTTTTCTTAGAGTTAAGTGATAATTTGTTAGAGCGGAGCCTTTGAACAATGTTGGCTAAATCGTGATTCATATGTTTATTAAGATTTTTAAGAGATTTATTAATTAGAAGCAAATTGGTGTCATCCGCAAAATGGTAGGCAGTAGAATACTTAAGTGAAACATTTAGATCATTGATAAAAAAAGAGAAAAAGTAAGGGTCCTAGTATCGAGCCTTGTGGAACACCATTAGAAGAGTTAGCAAGATTTGAGTTGACACCATTAATTGAGACAAATTGTTTTCCATTATAGATATACGAGGAAAACCAGAGAAGAGGAGTACCTCTAACACCGTAATACTGCAGTTTTTTAAGTAAGATTTTGACCGTGTCGAATGCCTTTTTTATGTCCACAAACACTCTACATGCAAAGTGCTTATTGTCAAGAGTTGTCTAATCTTTTCTGTAATTTCTATTAAAACATGAGTGGTTGAATGTTTATTGCGAAAGTTATATTGGTGTTTGTAAAGACATTTATATTTCTCCAAAAATTATTGAGTCTGTGAAACATTGCTTTTTCAAACAGTTTACCTAAGTTGGAGAGAAGAGAAATGGGTATATAATTGGAGTAGTTCAGACGAGAACCCATTTTGTGTATTGGGATTACTTTGGCTAATTTAAAAGCCTCTGGAAAAATACCACTTTTAAAAGAGTTATTCATCATAGTGCTAAGAGGTTTGAAGATTATGTGAGGAAACAGTTTAAGAAGAAATGTTGGAAGACTATTGGGACCTAGACTTTTGTTATTTTTTAGAGTATCTTTTATGAGATTGGTAACCTTGTTTTCAGTCACAGGTTCTATGAAAAAAGAATAAGTATTAGGCATTTTAAGAAAGTTGACAAAGTCACATTTAGAGGGTACAATTTCTTTCAGTAGTCTGTTTTGAATAGTAAAAAAATAATTATTAAACAAATTAGCAACAGTGGAATGATCAAAGATAACATTTTCATTGATTTTGAGACTAAAAGACTTTATATTAGAAATATAAAACGAAAGAATAATATTGATTATTATAATTATATATCTAAATTATAAATTAACTATAAATAAAACGAACTAATTAGCGATAAATAAGTTATTAAAATAATGATATTATAATGCTAAAAATAATAACTATTATAGTAATATAAATAAGTAAAAAAAATAAGTACAAAAACCAATCTTCTTCTTTATTTATCGTTTTCTTTCTTCAAAAATAGTAAACTAATCAAAATAACATTTCTTATGTAATTTAAAAAAATGTTAAAACTAATTTCCTTAGGTATATAAAAATATTGCAAACATCATATAAAAACGATTATAATAATATTGTGTACATTTTGAAAACAAAAATATTTACCAGTAAAACTTGTTCCTATCAAGTATAAAATTTATAGAATATAGAAAAAAACGTGTCGCTGAACTCTCTGATGCTTTTACTTCTGTCCCTATTGTAGTTTTAGTTTTAAAATACTCCGTTCCACAAAAATTTTAAGTTACATTTTTATAAAAAACTTGTTATAAAAAAAATAAACGTGTATTTGTTATTAGTTGGACCTTAAAAATTAGTGGAACTAGTCCATTTGCAAAAAGATTTATAAACGAACTTTTTTGAACCCCTCATTACAATTTGTTAAAAATTTGTTACGGTTCCTAGTTATGTCAAATAAGTTAGCCCTATTGGTTTGATTTTAACTTAAAGTTAAATTTTATTCTGTAAAGAATATACCAATACGAAGTAATAATTTCAAAGAGAAAAAAATTTTAGGAAAAGCAAAAAACAATTTTTGAGATAAAAAAAAACAAAAACTGATACACTTTTTCATAAATAAAGTTATTCTTTGCAAAGCACCGTCAAAACCGGTAAGATAATAAATAAGCTCCTCAACCGACTATATCTATAATTAATTTGCTCTTTACTTCAATAAATCTTAGTTTACGGCAAAATAAATCGATATAAAATTCTTGACTTTTGGTTAACGATTTACTTTAATATTGTTTACATAACTAAAGAATCTTTAACAGAGATGATATTTGCGTAGCATTTTTTCCAGTGTTTTTTAGGGGAATGTAATTAATTTCAAGACTGTAGCAAAATTTTTAATTGATTAATTTTTTCAAGGCCTCTCATTGAAATTTCTTTATAGAGCAAAAGGAAGACATAGCAACGGAAGACATAGAAACGGGTCACGGATCCTAATTATGTCAAATAAGTTTTCTTAAAGCAATTTTTCTGCAACAAACTCTTAACTAATTCTTTCAAGTTATTTTTGACACCGGTTTTAGCAAATTATTAAACTACTATAGCTATGATTATTAAATTACTATAGCTATGATTTGTAAAATTATTAAACTACTATAGCTATGATTTGTACAGAAAATCTAGATCCGTATTTACCAAGGTAATAAAAGTATAAACGGTTTCTATTCATATATAAAAACATAACGAAAAAATAACGAAAAACAAAGCAAAAAATGTATCTATACAACACTATAATTACAAAGAGATAAAAATTACAAATTTGTGTGAGAAGCAAAACACATTTTTTTTGAGATAAAAGTAAAAAATTTAAATTAAAATAAAAAATTACAAAAAAATATTATATTTAAAAAAATATTATATTTAAAAAAATATTATATTTAACATAAAAAATATTTGAAGTAATTTATAAAATCAAATGGAAGTGTTTCTTTATTGTATAGCTTTTAGTAAATGGTATAAAAATTAACAAAACTTCCCTTTGGCTTTTAGAAAACGATCAACATTAAGAGAAGGAATTCGACCTAAAAATGTAACAAATTTATTGATAACACTTTTTACAAATTAATGTATATGTACTCTGTTAATTTAATTGAAAACTCAAAAATGTGATGACAAATAACAAACTTACTTGGAGATATTTTTTTTTTGTGTGTGTATTTTTGTGAAGGTTTTAAAATTTATTGTTGCAAGTTAGGATTCTAAACTCTTTTCAAAAAAAAAGCAACGTTAAAAATAATCAAAAAAAGATAAATTTTTACATTTGAATATAAAAATTAAATCCTTGGCTTTAAAGAATATACAGTATAATCATTCACTAAAAGCCAAGGGTTTAATTTTTATATTAAAAAGTAAAGATTTATTTTTTTTTGATTATTTTTAGCGTTGCTTTTTTTTATATTATACATAATCAGTTTCAGTAATGAAACAATCCAATATTCGTTTTTAACGATAGATGCCAACGTGAAGGTAAGCCAAGTCGTCTATCAACACAAAACTACACAACAATAACATCACACAATTAACAAATAGCACAAAACGTTACAGTAAACACGCAATAAGCATAAACCACCAAGGGACCAAGAAATTAGCTTATTTGAGATTATTGGGAGTATAATTCATAAACAAAGGCTCAATTGGAACTTTAAAATTAATTCGAATTATTAAGGGTTATTGAGTTATCCAGATTTTATTGAAAACTTTTTATTTACTAACAGCATAACATACTTATAAGTACACATTTTGTGATTACAAGCAGACTTTATTATGTGTTTTATGTCAGTACACCGCTTGGCTAGCAAGGATAACACTCTTGTCGCAAATAAAGCCAAGTCACATTATTTAAAGTACACCGCTTGGCTAGCAAGGACAACACTCTTGCTGTAAACAAAGCCAAGTCACACTACTTTGAAACCATGGAAACAACATAATAACTACTTTCAAATAATAAGCGCGTAACATTATAACACATAATACACTTTATATAAAACAACCATTTACACATTTGTTAAACATAAATACTTATAAAATATAAACAAAATATAACCTTAACACATATATAAACACATAATAAATAACACACATTACCGTATCAAGTAACACATAAAACATAATATTATTATCATAATTTATCATAATTAAATTTTCATAACTATCATAAAACTGTTATCATAATTTGCTTATGATAACATCAAATCACCACATACGATGTCTGCAGATAATTGATATTTGCTCATATCATATTAACCAACATCATTGTCCTTGTTTTTATTTAGTTTCCAATAGGAAACTATATATATATTTTTAATGCTAAGAAGCCTGCCGTAGTACATATCTTGGCTATTAGCGTCAGCATCATATCACATGTGGCATATACTTCTTCAAACAGCATCTCCATTGAGAGTGTCTTCAATATCTACAGCTTCATTATTTTCCAGATCTCGGAAGAGTTGTTTTACCTGTAGAGGTACGAGTTTTTTAAATATTTTTTCCACTTTTATTTTTTCTTTATCCTCCATATTATGAATCTTTTTAGCCTTGCGTTTAATAAATTATGCCTTCATTTCTTCATGGCATTGCATATTTGCTAAGCGCTATTTACCGGCTGAGGAGATAGACCAGGCTATCAATTTATTTCGTATATCAGTTGGTTTTTTAGAAAGAAAATCAGTTGTTTTATTATCGCATCCGCGAATTTTCATTGACAAATAACAAAGTGTGGCATTAGGAGCTTTTTGCTTTGCAGCGCTAAAGATACCCACAAGTTCTTCACAGTCAATATTATGTGGACGTGCTGATAATGTCTGGGACTTGAGTTGGTCAGTTAAAGTCATAGTAAACTGTCACTTATACTGATGATTAATAACACTAATAACAGCATTTAGACAGCTGGCTAATGCGTCTCTTATTTCGTCAGTCCTTTCGCAAAAGCCTATGAGTGATTGAAAAACTGTATCATTGAGATCACCTCCAAAAAAGTCTATTTTTTGGTGAATAAGGAAAAGAGCCTTTGCGCTGCTTTCAACAAGTGCATTGCAAACATATTTAATCACTTTGATGTCAGACAAGTAGTCAAGCCCTTTTCCTGGAGCAACATAGAATTTTTTCATCCAGGGACCAGTCACTAACTTTCCGATTAAACCTAGGGCACACATTTCGCGTATACCGAAAACTAAATAAAATATGCCTTGAAAAAATAAAAACCAAATATTTTAATTATTAATCCATCATAACATCTCACCCGTATCAGATGTGAATTCTTGGAAAATACTATTTTCTGTCCTCCACATAATATTACTCAAGAAAACAGAAAACTCTGAAGTTTATGGTAGTGATGTATTAAAATTCCACATGTATGACAAAGTATGTGCAATCGATTTCCCCTATAGTGTGATATAAGTCCTCTTGGATGACCATGCTTGTCCAAAAAAGGTGACTAAGCCTTTCGGATCACCTTTAAAAATAGAATTATAATTAAAATTGCAATGCAAAAAATTTATTTGCAAATTTTAAACAAGTATGTTGATAAACACATTTATTAAGTTCATATTTAAATTCAAAATAACAACTTGAAACAAAATAAATTTAAAATATCAAGAAGACGTCATTATAGTAAAAATATGATAAGAATTTATTATATTTATTTACCTTTACTATCCTTGTAACGGAATTTATTTAACTGAACAACAATGTTTGCTGCAAAACAATCTCAACCAAAAAGCTTCCATTTTGAAGTTTCCAAAGTTTTAAGCGATTTCTTGCAAGCAGAAGCAATTGTATTCAATGGGTGAAGGTGAGAATTCAGCTTATTTAGAGATTTCTTCCAATAAGTGTTTCACTTTTGTTATAGATGCATAGTTCATTGCCACTCTTTCACACATTGCGTTAGTTATGTTGCTGATAATCGTGCTTCGTACATCAGTGTTTTGTTTCTGGTAAAAGTCACTAAACAACGTAGCAAGGCTATCCACAGACTTTGTAATATGACTCATATAGTCAAAAGATGTACCAACAGCAAGCTGGTCAATGGCTACAACTAAGCATGAAGATTCAGTTGTTAAGTGCTTATCTCATTAACATGAACACCCACAACATTGACATAAACACCCTCCTGGGTTGTGGCATCAAAAGCAAGAGTCAAATTTTTTGTTGAGAATGCTATCTAAGCAGACTGGAGTTCTGAAATAATACTCAGCTCGCGCACCATCTGCTCCACAGTTTTGCGATGTGGTAAATCGCTAAATCTATACCCAAAGTGTTCTCCTACTTTATGAAGAAGTTGGGGCACACTGTATGTAGGAACTTGACATGCCAGCATGTCATAGAAAAGTGCCCTAATATCAAATGAGTAGACTTTTTTAATTCTGATACTTTGTACTTTCTCCTGCATTAACTCTATCTTTTTCTGTAAATTAGGCATATCATTTTGCATGACACTAATCTCTACATTCTTGTCAAGAAGTTGTTAACTTAAGATAACTTCTTCAGTAGACAGCTTTGTTTGGGTGAAATGCAGCTCTTTTTCGAAACGAAAATTTGAAATTTGAAGCATATTCAACTGTAAGTTTAGACGTTGGACTTTTAATTTATTCCGCAAACTTCGAATCGTCTTTTCTTTGTGAGCAATAGTCTCATTTTTAAATCTTGGCCTTGTTTAAATTTTTTCTTTCAACACCTTTACATCTTCTCTATGCTTTCGTTTATTGATAACAATTTCAGTCGCAAAAACACTTATCTCCGTTTTAAGAGTTTTTTTCTTGGAGTCATTTGGTCAATTTTTAACCTGGATAACAAATGACTTTTTTTTATTAGGTGAAGACAAAATACTAATATGTTTAGGAGATGAGGCAACTGACAAAGATGAAACAGTTTTTTCTTGAACTTGGGGTTGACTGAAATGATTGTGTTGCTGTTGTTGCTTGACAAATAAAAGACTCGTTGCAGAAGTCAACAAAGTATTTTGAATCTCTTAAAAATTGCAAGCCCATTTTTTGATAAATTAACACAATGTTTAGTATGACTGTAACAAATATTGAAGCCATAAAGTTTATTGACATGCTCAATAGTTAATTGATGTTATTCATTATTGTTAACGAATGCAAACAGAATATGCCCATTTTTACAATTATTGTCTATTTGCAAAGGCAATGCAATGTTTGATTCTAAATAGTTTTTCGCTGCACCACGAAACACGCACATTTTCTTTTTTGGACCCATATAACCATATAATGTTACCTAGAATTATTTCTTAAATGAAAAAAAGAGTTTCCAGTGAAAATTAGTTACTTGTTTCTGTTTTAAGCAAAAACATATAACTGATATCATTTGTATGCAATAAATTTCAATTTTGATCAATCATGAGTTAACTTTATTAATGAGTATATATGCGTAAAACATAGTTGTATTGTTTCAGTAAAAAGTGGTGTAAAGTTTGATTTTTTAATGATAATAACAAATCGTTACGTTCTGTAAATTGTCAAAATTGTCTCATTGTCAAGATGGTACTTTTTTACTTAATTAATATTATTTGTTTGAGTTCATTTTTTACTTAATTAATATTATTTAATGTGCTCATATTACCAAGTGGTCAGGTATTATGAGCACTTTTGCCACATTTTTAAAACCTCTGTGTTTTTAAGAAATACTTGAGGTGCCTGAATATTTATTTTTGGATCATAAGTAGTGATTCCTTAAAAATGTTTATTCGCAAAAATTTTGGATCCAACATTACTGTTTTAGAAAATATTCAAATTTGGCTTAAGGTGTTTATAATAACCTAATCTACCCTCAATTTCTATATATTCTGGAACCAAAAGTTATTCAATAGTAAATCTTCAGTTTTTTAAAAGAACACATGAATAATTTAATAATTAATAAATTTTAAAAGATGATTTAGTTTTTATGTCTAATTAGACAGTTTAGCAACTACTTAAATAATATAAGCTATGGAAAGAAATAAAACATTATTTTCGAAATACACCTTTTCACAGTTCCGATATAAAATTTATGCGCGCGCAGAAATGGAAAATAAAAACGTAAACAAACATTATTTCAAGGGTTTAGATTATAGAGATTTATAACGGAAAAAAATGTAAATACTGAACCTATACCATATAGAAGTTTTAAGAGATCGAAAACATACTCTCTCATTGATGATAAAAATAACGAGTACAATCTAGAAATGTGGAAAGATGATTTATGTATGATACAAAATGTTAAACAAAGCTCTTTATGTATGATACAAAATGTTAAATAAAGTTCAACTCCAACATTATTGCGTCGTAGTAAATTATTTACGATAAAATATAAAATGAGAGTATGTTCAGACAATTTTCCTGAAAGAGCACTATCGTTTAAAAATCAATATTTTTCGTTTAACTTAGGCTACAATGCTCAAAAACTTATATTATTTAATGTAAATAATACAAATTTTTCAAACAATTATCCATCAAATTATGTTGAATTTAATGTTAAGCGTTGGTTTATAATAGAGCATCAAAAATTAATAAAAAAATTGATGACTTAAAAAAAGAACTTCAGCACGAAATTAAAAAAAATAAAGATTTATTTGAAAAATTAACTTGACCAACGGCAAATCCAATGCATTTGGGCCAACTAACACAAAATAAAGTTAGCCCAACTTCAATTTTCAATGCAGTTGCGCCAAGTATTGTAAGATGTGGTTGTTACAACTGCAAATCTAATTCAATTTTGGCAACTAATGTAAAGTGTAGTAGGCCCAATTGCAAATCCAATGCATTTGCGCCACCTAATGCAAAATGTAGTTGGTCCAATTGCAAATGCAACGCAGTTGCGCCAACTAAATCAGTATGCAGTTGGCCCAAAATCAAATCCAATGTATTTTGGCCAACTGAATCAAAATGCTGCTAGCCCGATTGCAAATCTAACGCTATTCGGCAAATTGAAGCAAACTGCTATTGGCCCAACTGCAAATCCAATTCATTTTGGCCAACTTACACAAAACACTGTCGGCCCAACAATACTGGCTGCTTGAGAATCTTTTAAATTTTTTAGATGAATAATAAATATAGCCTATTTTGTTTATTTTCATAATCTAAAAAAATGGAAAGATGATATCTTTTTGCATTTTGTAAAACGATATCATTTAAAAAAATGTTGTGTAACAATTTTTAAAAATATTCCAAAAAATGATTCGCAACTGCATTAGCTGAATATTGGCTACGGGATTAGATTTTTATGAAATAATATTGAGTCGATTCTGCATTGGCCAAATGTTGGCCAAACATAGTACGAAATTTGAAAAAAACTGATTTAGAGATGTGAAATATTATGTTAAAAAAAACATTAGCTAAATGTTGGCCCAACGGAATAAATTTGCGAATGTTAAAACTTACGTTGGGCCAATGTAAGCTTGCTGTCTGGGATGCCTTGAAACTTGTTGTTTGTCCGACAAAAAATTAAAGAAACGCCTTTATGTTTTACTCAAACAGAAATGGATACAAATTCACCAGTTAATAAAAAATATATAAACTTGAAAGTATAGAAAATTTGAATGGTTTATTTGCTAGCTACAAGTTTATTTCCTGGGTGCACATATACTTAATTTCTACATTAATCAGTCAGGTCTTTACTTCAGACTGGTCCTGTACATAACACAGAGTTATTACTTAAATGATTTAGATACAGTAGTGTCTGCTACTTTTAAGAAAATAAACACTGCTACAAATTACATTGTATTTTTTCATTGATTATTTTTTTCTGATTAGTCCTATGGCAATCCAAGCTCCTTTTATTTACTTAAGAGCCTTTAAGATCCAAGCTCCAAATGTCGGATGGTTTCAAATCTACGCAGGTATTAAAAAGGTTCCCTAAAATTCTTTTGCCAACTGAATATAAATAATATGTCTTTTTAGTCTTTAATTGCCAATTTTATCTTTTTCGATTCCAGAAAAAGAAAACTTGACAAATAAAAACACTGAAATTAAGTCAGTGATATCCTTTTTTGTTTATTTTGTTAACTTTGTTAATTAGCAAAGTTTTTTTTGTTTTCTCTAGGAAAATACTAGGGAAAATCCTTTGTTACAAAGAGTGAAAGACATAGCGGTTTTCAAGAGTGAGAGAGCCCCTAGGTCATTTATCAAATTCTGTATATGTGTAAAAAACTTTTATTTGCAAATTATTGATCTGAGCGCCAAAGATTGGGTCAGATCTCAGAAAAGCTGGTCAAAAAGGAAAAAAAAAATTTTCAATACGGTACTTTTGGACTATCAGGTTGGCTTTAGTGATGTTGGGACTACTTAATGCCGGGTATCCAGAAGATCATTTCGTCATACTTGCATACGTTAAAGCTAAAAAATCGTCTTTTTTTCAAAAATAAATATTTTTGTTGTGTGCACGTGAAACAAATATTTTTAATATGGAATTCGTTTCACAAGGTATGTACTAATTAAAAAACAAAAATATTATTATTAAGTCATTAATTATAAAGGTTTTTTTTAAAATTAACTTAATACAGAAAAATATTTTATAAAATTGTAAAATTTGCTTTAAAAATAGAGATAAGATACGAATTCCACGATATTCCACTTTCATTTGCATTGTGTTTGTACGTATGCAGTATTTTTTTTTTTTGTAATTTAACATTCAAACTCACCTACTTGTACAAACTCCACTTTTAAGCTATGTTTTATATGACAGTTGCAAAATGCCGTTATTAAGACGTCTTGAAAAATGAAAGTAAAATTATTTAACTATGAGCTACATTTGTATAATTTTAATTATAACCGATGTCTAGAAGCATTATAAAGAAGATTAAAAGTAGAAAAGGACGGGAACAACGCTTTCTCCTACACAGTGAGATGAATAACTTAGAAAAGTACAGTGATCGCTACACACACCGCCACACACAAACCGCCACACAGTAGTTACCATTTTCCAATCTTCAAGATATGATTCCGTTCCCTTTTTTTTTTTCTTGTTTCATATTTTAAACTGAATAATTGGTTATTTTTTTAATGACATTAATAATATTAAAAAATATTTTTTATTAAAAAAGTTATTAACTTCATAACTAAATTAAGAAAAAATTAAATATGAATACAAACATTGTACATATGTTTTTTTAGCGCATTTAAGTATTTAATTAATGAATTAATAAATAAATACATAAATAATGCATAAATTGATAACTAAAATAAAAGTTGTATTTGTATTGTATTGAAAGTATTTATATAGTAATTTATATTTATCTATACAGTAATTATAAATGTATCAATACAGTAATTTGTATCTTTAAGTCATTATCTTTTTACAATATGGATAGAATTCATTTATATTACTGGATAATACATTATACATTTTTACTAAAATTAGAATATCAAAATAAATAATTTAGTTAAAAGTTGGGTAGCCGTTTACGGACTTTCGAGTTTACGGACTTATTACAAAGCAAACGATTAGGAAATGGATGGAATTCATTTAAATGATGGTATAAATACAATTATATATTTTATTAAAATAAAAAGTTAAAAACTTAACTAAAATATTGAGTAAATACATTTTTAATAAATATACATAGATTTTTTAAATTTAGGTTCATCAGATCCACCGGTTGCCGTATATGGACTTTCGACGAAAGAGCTCTTTATTATAACAAAAGAATATTTTTCAAACCATTCGCAAGTGATCATAGAACATTTGGAAAAGTCATCGACTGAAAAGATTGGATATGTAATTTCAATTTGCGACAACATGAGACCTACTACTTCTGTTTTAATGACAAAATTTAGAATGAAATATAAGGAAGCAGCTCAACGACAAGATTACTTTTTCAAATGAACGAAAACTGGTTAAAAACTTTAGTATATTTTCAGATTGATGCAAAACGTGCAATAGTAAATAAATCAACGGGTCGACCCACCAGAAGTTTCGAAACTTTATCTGATAGGTCCAAAAGAAGGAGGACTAAAGAGATGCGTACGAAGTTCAGTCCTGCCGAACTATCATTTGCTACGCAAATGAGTCTTCGATCTTTAGGGCATTCAGACGCTGCTAAGATTGTGAATGACGTTACACTGTCAAGTCCATTCAAGGCAACAAAATACAAGGAAAGTTTGCAATTACCATTATCATTGCCAGCCTTTTATGATGCAAATGAAGCTCTTGCACTTTTATTAGAGCTAAGTTTGACGAAATATTTGTCCAGCATTTGAGAAATCAGGCAAAAAAAAAATGGCTTAAATACATTTAATTCACCATACTCAGCTGTATTGGCAGCAAAAAAATGTTGCTACTCTACAGACGACACCTTAAATATTACCGAATCAAAAGCTGAGGTACAGTTGCAAGTTTTATTAGGCCACACCATTCAACGTATTTTATTGCTGAACCAAGACAATATTACATATAGGAGTGTTTCAGAAATATTAAATGTGACTTTTATTTGTAAGTGGGGCTTTGACGGAACATCCGGACAAAGCATTTATATCCGATCCGAATATATCAGATGCAAGTTTACTTTTTACTTCGCTTGTTCCATTGCAACTTGTAGGTGTAAATCAAGAAACAAAAGAAGAAAATCTCTTATGAAGTAATCCGAAGCCATTTTCAACTCTCTTTTGCAGAACTCTAAAATTGCAATTTACAAAGGAAACTGAGGAAACTTTTATAAATGAGAAAACGCATTTTGACAAACAGATTGAACAACTCCAACCATTAAAAACAACCATTCATATGAAAAATGTTTTTATTCAATACAGTTTAAGTATGACCGTGTTAGATAATAAAGTATGCAATGCTATCACCTACACAAAACCTGCGCAACGGTGTTATCTCTGCCAGGCAACTTCCAAGCAATTTAATAACATTGATGAAGTTTTGCAAAGACCGGTAACCACTGATTATCTACAGTACGGACTGTCAACTCTACACGCCTGGATTCGATGTTTTGAATGTTGTATTCATTTGGGATACAAAAAAAAATACGAAAAAATGGCAAGCGCGTAAAGAAGAAGATAAGCAGAAAAAAGCAACAATAAAAGCTAGCATCTAAAAAACTTTCAAACAGCAACTAGGAATTTTAGTCCACATGCCAAAGCAAGGGTTGGGCAGCACGAACGACGGAAACACCGCTCGACGTTTCTTTGAAAACACTCAAACGTCGTCCTTGATAACTGGTGTTTCCGAAGAATTAATCCACCGTTTTCATATAACTTTGCAAACAATTTCAAGTGGACATGAAATTGACGTTGAAAAGTTTCGAGGTTACGTCTTACCAACTGCAAGACACTATATCAAAGAACATCTCTAGTACAACATGCCAACATTAGTACATAGATTGCTGATCCACGGACCAGATATTATTTCTTCAGCCATTATACCCATTGGTCAACTGTCCGAGGATGCTCAAGAATCAACCAAAAAGTTAATAAAGCAATATCGTTTGGGTTTTTCTCGAAAGTTTTCAAGAGTTAAAACTATGGAAGACGTGTTCAAGAGAATGTTGGCAACCGCAGACCCCTACATTTCATCTCTGGGAAAATTAAAGACTTTGTTGCCAGAGGCTGTTGCCCTCTTGGTTCCTGTAACAGAAGATTATGAAGACTCTGACGCAGATTCCGATGAAACAAACATTGAATATAATAAAGATTCCAACAGAGAGACAGATCAAGATGAAAAAGAACCAAAATGATTATAACTGAAACAAAAAGTTTTTTCTATATTTAACACTTATATTTAACATCTTTCATCATTTGACCCATTTTTTAGCACTTACGGACACATTGGATCCGCCATTTTGTTTTTTATTTTTTTTAAACTTTTTTTTGTCAAATTTTTAATTTGTGGCCTCAAAGAACCTTTAAAACCCATTTATGAACAACTTAAACAATTTTTTAACATATATATCCGCCAAATTGGATCCGCCATTTTGTTTTTTTGTTTTTTTTTAAGCAAAATTTTAATCAGTAACTTTAAAAAATATTTGCCATGAAATTTCAGGCAAATTATTCAACATTTTTTTATTTTGACAAGCTTTTTCGATATCTGACCCACTGTGCGCCGTATCAAATTGATTTAAGATTAGGTAAATTAGTAAACATTATGTTTAGAGCATGTTTAATATTATAATATTTAAAAAAATTAACTTTATTTGTTAATTTTATAATTTTTATTAATAAGATTTGAATTTTAAGAGTTTATATTCTACAACTTATTTTTTTTTAGAAAAACAGACAATAAAATCCGAGAAAGTTACAAAAAAGCTTTTAAAAAGTTAAATAGTTCTCAACGCTCAACTTTTTGTTGCTTTCTTATCAAAGTAGAGCAGTAGTGTCAATTTAGAACTTTTTCTATAATTAAATTGCTACATAAAATCTGAATCTTTTAAATTCTGTAGTATATAATTAATATAATCTGAACCAGTGTTTTATTATTTTTTTCCCTGATGTCTGTATACTGAACCTAAAAAAAGAAAAAACCGAAATAATCTATGATGCTATTCGCACTGCCGCCGTGTTCCAATTCTAAAAAACCTATTTGCACGGCCACCGTGTTCCCATTTTAAAAAGGCTATTCGCACGGCCGCAAAAATTTCGCAATCAATTTTTGAGTCACTTCGTGATGATAGAATTTATTCAAATTTTGCATACATACTCTTGCTTGATGACAAAACAATGTTCAATAATTAGTTATGCAATAAGTTAACTAATTTAGTTAATTTTAATTAAATTTATTTTTTATGTGGAAAAAAGAATTTAAACATTATAAATAAGTAAACTAATTGTTTAAATACATAAACGCGCGTTTACCTTATCTGGTAAAGTCGTCGACTTCGTAAATTGAAGGTCGGAGGTTCAACTCTTGTCTCTTCCTGGATATTTTTTGTTATTTTACATACGCATACAGCCGAATGTTAATAAAATAAAATAGTATTATCAAAAAAAACTTATTGCAAAATTTGTGTTTTTAAAACATATAAAAGCACTGGGATTTAAAAATTAGTTTTTAAATTTTACTTGTTTTTTTCGCGTTTTTTGTAGAATTTTTTTAGAATTCTATGTAATTACCAAAACTGTCGTTTTCTTTCAGATCTTCCTTTTTTAATTTGTTTTGTTGTACCTATTAGTTAATCCTAAAGTTAAGGTGCAGGCCTATTTCAAATTTTGTCAATTTGACCGTGCAAACACTTTTTCGTAACTGTTTATATGGCAGCCGTGCCAATAGTCTTTTTTAGAAGTTGTACACGGCGGCTGTGCCAATAGACACTATCATGTGTACGTGTGTGTGTGTGTGTGTGTGTGGTTATGGAGGTGCAGCAAGAAGACTTATGGTCTAATCGCAGAGCACCGCCTAAGATTATATAACTTAAAAGTTTGCTCCTTCTTCTTGAATAATGTTTATAATTTTTAATGAGGTAGCTTTGAACATCGAATCTCCTGGTTCTGAGCCAGAACTTTAACCACGGCTGCTTTTTAAAACCTTAAATTTTAAGTTGAAACTTCAGAGCTGAAAAATTAGATTTTCACTGAAAGTTACTTATAACGATTAGTAACTTGAATTTTATTAGAACTTTAAGACACCTTTCCGTCCATTATAAAAATTATATCTGCAGTTTTCAGGGAACTTTTGGTCTCTCTGTATTCGAAGAATTTTAGGCATTCTTTTATTGAACTTGTTTACTTCCACTTTAAAAGTTTGAACATTCACTCACTTCATTTCTTTGAGGCAAAAGTTACTTTGAATGGCTATTTCAGAATAAATATTGGCTTCTTTTCTGTAAACTTAAAACTTGTATTTACCTTTAGTGTTATCTATTATTTTAATCAATAACACAAAACCTTTTTTTCAGAAATTATTACCTACTCAAATCATGACTACAAGATTTTAAGCACAATATTTAATGGCTTAGTTCACAGGTCTTATTCCATATGCAGTGATTTAGAAATCTATAGTTATGATAAAAATTGTAATTAGCAAATCTCGGGCCATGATAAATTAACGCCAAACTCAATTGGAACACTAAATGTTCATATTTATTTCGGTATTATTTTTATATTTTTTGATAAAGTGGCTGAAAGATTGCCAAACGACACGACACATGAAAAGTAAAACGACACGACACATTAAAAGTAAAACGACACGACACATTAAAAGGGTAACATTAAAAGCAGCTTTTTATTTTAGTTAAATTATTTATTTTATTTATTATCAATATATATATATATATATATATATATATATATATATATATATATATATATATATATATATATATATATATATATATATATATATATATATATATATATATATATATATATATATATATATATATATATATATATATATATATATATATATTAATAAATAAAATTATCATAATGTATATATATACATAATGATAATAGAATAAGTTAATTTTTTTTAGAAGCGATGATCCTTAATTATGCTGGAAAAAAAAATTCTTATATAATATTGTGCAAAGCTAGTTTCAAAAGTTTACAGCAAATTCACACAGTGAATTCCAAAACACAGAACTCCAAAAAATAGATTTCCAAAAGCAGTGATTTCCACTAAACAGCAATTTCCAAAAAGTTTTCCTTACGTGATGCCTTAAAGAAGTTGTTTTTCTATCAGCAAGCCATTAATCCTTCAATTTCATTGACATATATCAACCTTTTTCAAGATTTTATCGAAAAAAAAATAGTGACAAAAATAATTTAAAAATTGATAAATTAAATTTAAACTTGAAATTAACGTGCATATTATTGAATTATAAATTTTAGGAATAGCAATTATTAATTAAGAATTTTTATTCGCTCACTTATTTTATAATAGATTTCTTTATGACATTAAAATATTTTTCAAATCAAATTTTTTGTTTTTCATTTCGCAATTTATACGTATACATTAGTTTATATCATTATATAAATATATATAACTATTGTAGTATTTATCATAATATTTTAAATATCTAAAATTAACATGTTAAAAATATACGTTGAGCATTTCAAAATTCTTGTTGCTTCGCAAAAAAGTTAGCAACATTAAAAAAACTAACTTTTGTTGGATATTGATGTGTTGTTGACCTAATTGTTTTTAGAGCGGAATCAATTTTGCTTAAATTTAACGACTCAACTTATTTTGAATAGCAAATCGTTACGTTTCTGAAAACGGTCAACATTTGCATATTTGCAGTAGCGTAACAAAGGGCGCGCAGGCCCGCAGCCGCGGAAGGGCTCAAAGTATAATAGGGCCCTACTGCGTAATAATACTCTTGACTATACTTCAAATAGTGATAATAGAGCTTTTTAATTATATCTAAAAAACTAGTACAAACTGTATTCACTCATGAGTATATAATTAAGTTAAGTGGTAAGTATAATGTCCTAAGGTTTTAAAGCAAAGTACAGTAGTGAAGCCATTGTATTAAAACAATAACTTACTTTTAAAAAAAGATTGCTAAGATGGACGTTGAGGTCGAAGTGGAGTTATCTTCATTACTGATGTATTTATCTTTTATGAAGTTAATTAGTTCTATAAAACTTTTCTCAAACAAGTTTTGGAATTTGTAAAAATTAGTTAATAGTCAAATACCTATCTTGGTAAAATATAAACAAAACTATGCAAAATTAAATATAATATATCGCTGAATCCTTTAAATTAGCTTATAGCTTAATAAGGAAGCCCTATGGTGGCTGTTTTTGTCGGTAATTTTAACATATCAAATTTCCTACGTCGAGACACCCTATAGTTGCCCAAACTATATTTTGTACTTGTTTATTTACCAACAGTAATTCTATTTTATAATTTCTATAAAATAGAATTACTGTTATAGAATACTATAATATTATAGTACTAAAAATAATTATAGTAGAGTCTATAAATGTTCCAAGTAGATGCTCTCTTTTATCAAAAATTTAAAGTTCAATGATAGCATGCTTTGTTAATTTCTTATACTATATTAGATAATAATACTAAGGGACGCTTTAGTATCAATTGAGGAATTTCAAAACTACTAAAGAAAGTGAATCTCAGTTGTTTAGTTACAGCAAAGGAGATTAAGATTAAATATCAAACTTTATTTCATCAATCAACTGAAATATTTAATTTCTGCATAAAACCGCGGATCAAATATTTTATTCATTAATTCTAACAATTTTGCTTTTTGCAAATATTTTATCGCTAAGGTTAATAAAACAAAGAAAAAGTATGATCCTTGGGTTACTCGACATAATAAAAACCTAATCCGTATAATTTCCATCGTTAAAAAAGTGATACTCACCTGAATAAACTTAATGACAACTTGGGTTTTTCTATATCAGATTTAACCTACAAATCTAAACCCCAATCAAATATTTTTTCCATTTACAAAATTTAACTTTTTCTTTTTCAGTTACTATGTAAATTCAATATACTATATAGTTACTATATTTATCAGCGTGAAAAAAAGAAAATACATACAAAATTATTATGTATCAGATTGATAAAAATACATTAATAAAGTATTGATACAAACTTTAAAATAAATTTTGTTCTAATA